TTTTCTCTCTAATTTATACAAATCACACAAAAAATGGCTGGGTCAGCAACATATATATAGGATATGTTAGTCTTTAGTTTAACCAATAAAAGGGTTAAATGGGGCCAAGATTCAAAACTATTCAATAGGTAAATATATATGAGCTGTGAGTAGCTTTAATTTCTGAATCTACTTCCAATGGTCCACGTTGTTTTAGAGTCAAGTCTTTGCTTGATTGTTGGTAATCAATTCACCATTGACTGAGATTCATTGTGTCTCAAAACCCAACAATGGCTTTAATCATGCACATTTTTAAATAGTCACATCCGTTTTAAAACAACATGACTTTTTATGAAAAATACTTGTTGTACATCACCATTTACATAATTTTTTACAGATTAATGATGTATTAAAAAGAAAGTGGGCGAGTTTTTCTTTTTATTTGGTTCATGAGAATTTGATCCAATCAAATCTTGTCATATCATCTATTGATAAATAAATCTGTGATTAGTGATAGACATACATAATTGATTTTTTATATAAACCATTTGTAATTGAAAAATTACAGCTTGTTTCAATTCAGGCATATAAATAAGAATAATGCCACATGCTGTAAATTTAATGGTGAACTTCTCAGATTCTCTGTCCCTAAACATGTCATCTTTTCAATTTTAATCATGCTTGGTGTACAATCATGATTTATAACATAGTTGACAACATGTCACATAACATTCACTCATTCGACAGTTTTCACATCTATTTGTTTTTGCAGCCACTAGTTTTTTGACAACACACAACACTGTCATCAATTTGTGCAAATAGATTAATTCTTCCAATTTCCATTATTACAAATGAATAAATCTATATGTGTAGGGCCTTGTTCACTGGTATTTTATACGGCAATTTTACATTGGCAAGGCCCACTTGAGACACGCCATTCACGTTTACTTTAGAGTATTGCATTATTTATTTTTGATTCTCTATTGCTTTGCAAGATATGTGTATTAAAGGATTTGTGAATAAACATGCTATTTATTATAATGTGTGAGCTGATTCCTGTTTTCACCAATGTTCTAGTAACAAAATGCTCGTTCTATTTATATGTGTGAGCTGATTGTAGTTTGTAACACTTTTTATGTTACTGGAATGCAAGGAGATGTAAGTCATGGAGAAAGCTTCATCACAACTGAAGGCAAAAACCTCACCCTGAGTAAATAGCTGGGCATGTAGCGACTACAACTATGAAGTTAATTTTATCAAGTAGGAGCATTCGCTTGTTTTAATGCTTTGTTTAAGGACAATGTCTTGTTTTTAGTAGTCAATAGATGACAATGTTTTCAAATACGAATGAAGGCGGCCCGTGTTCATTTATGTTTAGCTATTTCTTTTCATTCATTCTGATGATTCATGCCAAATGTGGACGGCAACCAAATCAATGCTTGTTCTATTTATCTTGTAAAATGGTAATAATTAAGAGGGCAAATCTAATTTCACAGCCACCGTTAGCAGAAATATGTTTAGCTGATTTTCGATTTTCTTTTGGGCGGTTAGCCCCTGTTTGGCCCCCATTACGGGGAAAATTTAATGTATAGAATAGTGTTTTTTGAAAAATGAGTGGTTGAAAGAGAAAGAAAAATTTTCGATTTACGTGTAATATTATTTTATGGAAGATTGTGTGGTTGAAAATAGGAGAGAGAAAAATAGAATGTAATGTAATATAATGTAATGAAAATTAAACAGGGACTAAAGAGATTGAAAGAGATTTGTGGTTTAGTTGTTTGACAGTGGCTGGAGATGGTGAGTAGTATGACGGCTAAATTGGCTACAAGTGAGGGCTTCGGTCGTCAGTTTCGGAGGGTTTCAATATTGGATAAAATGAGTTGATGATGGTGTTCAGTTTCATTTCATTATTTCTTCCCTTTTTCATTTTCTTTTTACAACTCTGCTATACAATCCAGGATTAAATGTCGGGTTTGGCTTCTCGGCCCTCGATCTTGCATCACATGGGACCAGCCACCATCAAATCAGGGGTCGAGGTGGCGTGGATTCAATCCCGAAATTTAATCTTCGGATGAGCAGCTTTATTCTTCTTTTTAATGCTGGCCACCTCACCCTGTAACTCCCAGTGATCCCAACCCCTGTATGCCCAGCTCGATTGCTTGCAAATTGTCGCAGTGCAGCCCACTGTAAACATACTGAATCCACAGATACCAAATTCAAACCACAGGAAAAAAAAATCTCCTCCTACCTGAAAAGACTGCACCAGTAGATAAGCACCAACTAATTGATTAGATTAGATATGCGCATGATTCCAGATCTTTCTACATTCTTCTTCTTGACAGTTGACACCCCAACTTCTCCTTGAAATCCGATCGCATCTGCTACAAAAGTCCATTGTTTTACTCCTTTATATTTCCTCTCATAATCAAGAGTCAGTCCTTCCCATATCTCTGAATTCTTGAACATAAACATGGCATCAGAAACAGAGTACACTGAGCGGTCATCTTTGATTGATGGCTTAATAAATTCAAGAAACAGAGACCTCTCTCTGTTTTTACCCTTCATGCTGGGCTTAAACACCACCTTCCCACTTCAAAATTCCACAAACCCACCTCAAGAATCCCAAAATCAAGCCACCCCACCTGACAGGGTTATCCTCGTAAACCCTCTAACACAAGGCATGGTTGTAATTGAAGCCAGTGGGTCAGGCTTGGATTCTTTGCTTAGAGACATGTTCTTGAACAAGGATGGTCAACCGCCTGCCTCAAAAGCATCCATTGAGGCCTTGCGGAGTGTGGAAATTGTTGGTAATGAAAATAATGAAGAGTGTGTAATATGCTTAGAGGAGTGGGAGGCTGGACAAATGGCTAAAGAAATGCCTTGTAAGCATAGGTTTCATGGGAATTGTATTAAAAAATGGTTGGAAATTCATGGGTCTTGCCCGATTTGTAGGTATAAAATGCCTGTTGATGATGATGATGATGTGAATGCGAAAAGTAATGGTGAAAATAACAGAGGCCGTAGAGAGATTTGGGTGAGCTTTACGTTTAATCGTGACACGAGAAATGGGGAAAACAATCAGATTGTTCATAGTGAGGGTAATGATTTTACTTCCAGTCATCAAGAAATTGATGCTCAAAACATTTTGTAAGATTTTTTTTCCCCAACCCAGTGGGGATGACATGTACATATACCATCAATGAATAAATTTTGTGTTGTTTAGCAGTTGTTTGTTATTCTTTTCTGGTATATCTTATGTTTCATATGTGCAATATGGATTGAAAGGATGATTAGGGACTTCAGAATTTGATAATGATTATTGGCCAAATGCTATCAAATTTATGGTTTATGGTAAATATTATAATTGACTGAACATTGAGCATATTGCTGCAAATACACCAACACTTTCTAATTCTACTTCTTTTCCCATGTTATCAGCCATTGTTGAGCTGCTTAATATTGATATCAACGAGGTATTTTCAGGATGAAGTTCATTTATTTATGTCGAAGTGATATGGAATGTAAAAAATATTACTTATATATACTTTTATATACTTTCTAGAACCAAACTCGTGTCTCTTTCTTAATATTTGGTTAAATTTATCTTGATTCATATTCTTCACTCTTTTTGGTGGAAATCTCTTTATTAAGATAAGAAAGGAGAGTCCATCTGCAAATGGCACTGAATGAGAAGTAGGAAGATGAGTTCGAAAAACCTCTGAAGGAGACCATCCACCGACTCTGTTAGCTCTATATGTACATGTCCTCAAATAAAAAAGTACTGTATGTTAGAATTGATGTAGGTTTCTAGGTGAGTTATGACTTTCCATGTGAAAAAATCTTGCTGGAGCAATAGATGGTTATGTCTGTTATTGCTGCGAGTATTTGGCAAACTTATCTAAATCATGTCACTATATGTTTGATAATAGTGTTATGAATTTCATCTCTTATCTATCGATTGATTCAGATTTAGAAACCTTTGTCATTATAGATGAATCTTTAAATCCAATAAGACGGACTTCCAGCTTTATTCATTCACGGTATTCCACCTTTTAACTAATGCGGAAGCGATTTTCTGATTTAATAATCATTTTGGAAAAAAATCTTTGTGCAAATGTTGAGTAGACCCTTGACATGCTTCCTGTGCAGCAAACAAAGGCATTAGCATGCAAGAGAACAGTCATTATGGAGAGCTGGCGGGCATCTCGTGGATGGGTTTGGTGGCTGCAAACAAACAGGAACATTGTATTGTAGGTGATGTAGAAATCACTATTTCAATTGTTCTTGTTTTCAAGTAATTGTGATTTTTGCCAAGAACTGACTAGTTTTTAATCCTCTTCTTGTATGTTAAATTGTTCATGTTTGTTAGATGCTTCAGGGATATATATTAATCTAACTTGTCAAAAAGATTAAGCTATTAGAAAATAGAAAGGAAGAGAGTATATTTATGTGTCTTCAATACACCATTTGAGGTGAAAGTCGAATTATTAATAGAAGGCGAATTTTGCTTGCTAGTTTAAGATAATCTTTCATATTTATGATTACTGTAATTCCCCTTGTGCAGAGGAATTGCTGCCAGAATTTCAACAGATGCTGCTGTTGAAATTCTGTTATGATTATTATCCAAGGAGTATCTGATACTAGTATTCATAAAGTTCAATGATGGGAAAAAAATATTTAAGTAAATAATTTCATGGAGAATGTAAAGCCAGCACTTTAAGAGCATTACTTTGCACCAAATTCCATGGTAAATATAATCTGATTACTTTCTATAAAATTGTACTCTTAGAACTACAAGGAGAAGCAGAAAGGACCGAAGCAAAGAAACCTATAAGTTATATGGCAAGCAGGTGGTGTTTGTGAAAGTATAACCACCATCCTTCGGTCCACGTTGTACAGATGATCCATAAATCGAATAATTTGAGTTGTACAGTGCTCAGCACTTGTCAGTTTTCTAAACTCAGTAGAGTTGCAAAGGCCATTCTTTACTGCTAAACTGATAACTTATAGCTTTAAATCCAAAAAGTAGTTTCTATTGCATGTTCATTATTCAATTAATTTGCTAGTAAATTTGCTGTAATTTTATAGCGGCGATCCATGATCGTAGGTCTTGCCTTGCTGTCATTTAACCGATAAAGCTCTTAGAAGAAAACTGAATTCGAAAGGGGTAATTGATTGAATTGAAATGCTGAGAATTACAGAATTTAGAAATGAATACAACACTCCACTCTCTCAATATTTGCCTGCCTCGTCTATTCCTCCTCTTTCTATTAATAATACCTGTTCTAACCAACTCTGCCTTGTCACCTCCACTATAACAACTTCTGTTATTTTTCCCTCCAACAGCTCCTACTTCTGAATTCTTCTAGAATAAGTCAATCGTATAGGAGGCCCATCATTAACATAGAATTTCCGTAAATAGAGAAGATGGCTGTGCAAATGAAACGATCCGTTAGCCAGATATCTAAGCATCATCAGAGTAGAACAATACTCTTGACTCAATTTGATGTGATATGATGTGGCCCTGTGACATATGAAAGTGAGCTAACATTTCACAATTCCAGTAGATGGAAGAGAGATTGAACAGGGTACAAGTATGTACTAGATTTAAGCTTCTGTTAAATCTATTCGCATCAAACTAACAAATTTATCTACTAACATCAAAACAAATAAATCTAATTACTGTCCATATTTATGAAGTAGACGTCTAATTTTAGTAGGTCCTCACCATCGTCAACTTTCCTATTAAACGAAGTTCTGAGTACCGGATTTTTGATGTCAACAGATATGATAATTGACAGTTTCCAGTTACTGGCTGAAACACTACCACCTACCCGCTCCAAGATTCCACAATCCCACCAGAATTCCAAAAGCCAGCAACCCTGCACGAGTCACATGACAGAGTCATCCTCAGAGACCCTCAAACTCAAGGCATGGTTTTAATAGAAGGCAGTGTAGAGGCTTGTATTTTTTGTTTAGAGACATGTTCTTGAATAAGGATGGTCAGACACCATTGAGGCCATGCTGAGTGTGGAAATTGTCGGTAATGAAGAGTGTCGGATATGCTTACAGTGGGAGGCTGTGCAAATGGCTAAAGAAATGCCATGTAAGCATATATTTCATTGAAATCGTATTAAAAAATGGTCAGATTTCAAGGTATTCCGTCTTTTTACCAAATCATTCATTGATAATCAGGTAATGTGGAAACAATTTCAGGTTGAATCAACTTTTTGGAAAAGAATTGTGTGCGCAAATGTTGCATAGACCCTTGACAGGCTTCCCGTGCAGCGAACAAAGGCATTAATTACTGTGAGAAAGAACAATTGATGCGAAGAGATACTATGTGATGCCTCTCGTGGCTGCATACAAACAGGAAATATGAGAAGCGGGTGCAGGAATTTGTGTTGCAGACGATGCAGAAATCATTGATTTTATTGTTCTTGTCTTGCAAAAAATTGTGATATTTACCAAAAACCAACAAGTGGTCACATTAATTAAACTTTTAGGGATTTATGTTTTCCAACTTGTCAAAACCACAAACTAAAAGCGGTGCCTGAAGCATTTTTATGCAGCACCAACGGGACAATTAATTGAAAGTGATAACGAATCTATGGGGAAGAGGAAATTGAGGGAAGAATGGGGTAGAAGAAGAATTTGTAGAAAATAGGTAGGAAGAAGAGAGAAAGTTGTCACAAGCCACCAATAATTTTATTTATTCATCAACTGTCTCCATTAAATGATAAAAGAGATTTAAATAACAAAATAAACCCTAAAGAGAAAGGGTCAGGCCCATTACACAAGTTCATAAAAATAACCCAACTAAAATAAATAAAATAAAAGTCCAACTAAAATGAAATAAATAAACTGAATGTCATTAAAATAAATAAGCTGCATGTCCTCATCACATTTTCTGGAGACTTATCCCCTTCGCGAATGCTAAGTGAAGCTATTAAAGGAGAAAAATACATTTATATATGTGTCTTTAATACACCATTGAGGTGCAAGTTGAACATGTTTTTAATCAAAGGTGAAGATTGCTTCCTGGTTTAAGATAAGCTTAAATATTTATGATTATTGCCCACGGAATATCTGATGCTACTTGTATTCTTAAAGTTCGATGATAGCAAACAAAAATATTGAATGAAATGATTTCATGGAGAACGTAAAGCTCGAGTTAAAGAAAATTTATTTGCACTAAGTTCCATGGTAAATATTTCTGATAACTCTCTTTAAATTGTATTTTTAGAACAGATAAGGAGAAGCTGATACTACTGAAGCAAAGAAATCTAGGTGGTGTTGGTGAAAGTATAGGCACTATTCTTTGCCAATGTGATTTACACAGATGATTCACTAAGTCCTTGATTAATCAAGTATTAAATCGAGTTGTAAAGTGTGCAGAACTTGCCAGTTTCTTTAACAGAGTAGAGTTACAAAGGTCTTTCTCTATTGCAAGATTTATAACACAGTGAGTGTTTATATAAAAAAGTCGTTTCTCGTGCATGCTTATCCGTAAATTAATATGATAGTATAGCAGTTACCTGCAGTACTAGGTCAGCCTTGCCGTCACTTAATGTAGTATATAGGGGATTCTGAAAATGGAGAAGATGGTTGTGCAACTAGAAGGATTTATTGGACAGATATCTAAGCATGGTCAAACTAGAAAGATACTGTTGACTCGATTCAATGTGGCATGTCGTAGAAGTATAAATTTGTTTTGATGTAGTATTGTTACTTATCGAAGTGAACTAATATTTGATCAATTCCAACTCTTGGAAGAGAGACTGAAGTCAGTACAAGAAGTATGTAAAATGTTTAAGCTTCTAATAAATCTAATGACATCAAAACAAATGGAATCTAAATTACTTTTTTTTTTTTTTTAAATAAAATTGAAGCTGAATTTTAGTAGGTCTTCATTGGGTTTCTCTACAATCAATTTTCCTATTGACCGAAGTTTTGAGCACCAGATCTTGACATCTGCAGATATGATGCCACTATATCCAGTTATTGGATGAAACACTTGAGCTACTTGTAAGGATATTCTACCAAACTCTGATTACCCAAATCATGTTGTGATTGAACCTTCAAACTTCAGTTATAATAATTCTTTGTGCGGGTTACTTTAGATGTCTCTGTTGTGGGCAACAAGAGAGACTTTGGGCTCTACAGATTTCTGTTGGTAATTGGATGACAAAGTTCAAGATTGTGCACATGATGTATAGCATCTTTAGTTATGGATATACTTCAGAAAAGTTCAATGTGTCCATACATGAAACAATGTACAGTCTGTGCCAATTAATACTGTTTCTATACACTAAAGATTTTCAGTAAATTGCTCAACTGCATTGCAGTTCAAGTCTATTTCTTTTGGACCTGAATTAAACTCTGTCAGGCCTCTACTGTTCAAATCAAAGGTCTCCAATGATCCAAACTTTATCAATTGCTCATGACTTCTGTCCCCTTCTGATCTTTTTCCTGATGGTTGTACAATAGAATGACCATCATATATATTACTTCTGTTCCTTTTCATATCGCTAACTGGACTCTCTAATCCACTCTTTTCTGCAGGATGCATTTCCATCAGTGGGAGCACAACGTAATTCCTCTTCCTATTACAGGTTTCGGAAACTTTATTCTTCTCATTGTCATCAAAGTCAAGCATTGGACGAGTTTCTTCCTCTCTACCTGAGCTCTCAGACGATGTCAAGGAACTCTCGAGCGAGCATCTGGTATGTCTTGGTAAATGGTTTGCATCTTTTAAAAGTAAGCCTTCACTCTCTGTCAAAATGGACACTGAAGGACTTGGACACCCGATGTCAACCATTGCAACTAATTGAGAAAGCTCAGCTTTTGCTTGTTCGACTTCTGTGGAGGTAGCACTATATTCAGCTAGTGTTTCCTGTGCTTTCTTCAAGACATTTTGTAAGTACTTTCCTTGTGCTTTAATTCTCAGTTGCAAATGTCTTTGCACCTGGAATATGCACAGAAGAAAATCCTGCTTAATCAGATTGTGTCTTTTTCACTGACAATCGAGATTGGGTAATCGAACAATTTAATACATGTTTTACCTCAATTTGTTCGTGAATTTTCCTCTGCACCTCCATTTGCACTTGTAGAGCCTGAGCTATCTGCAAACTCCTAATAAAACACAACCCTAAATAAGTGAAAATTCCTTCATCCATTCTTAAGTTATCCAGTACTCTTGGAAACTATTTATAAAAACTATTACTCATTAATCTGATTGTGCTCTCCATCACAGTTCTTGCTAGTGAAGGGACTCTGATTATCTTTGTAGTCTGCATCGAAAGACATTTTCGTTTAGTTTCCTTCATTTATACTTCTTCATGATATTGTAATGTAAGATAATGCTGCTTACTTTCTTGTTCATTACCCTCATAATAGGATTGTGATGGTTTATTCTTTCCGATCCTATATTTCTGCAACAAAGTACAATTTACCTCCATCAAAATCCTTCTGAGTAAAACGTGCAAGAACATAGAATGTTGTCGTATATAAACAAGAACATTACCTGTAAATGGCTCTTGAGGTGGTACAAAGTTAGTCCGTTAACGCCCATCACCCTCATTAAAGATTTTGGTGTAGCCTCTGCATTGAAGACTCACAACTAGTATCAGAATACATAAAGACCAAATTTACACAGATAAATTCAACTGAATCAGAAATTTCTATACTCAACTATTTGCACCCCCAAGTTGATTAACTGCATCAACAAATATTTTATGCAGTTCTTGAGTCCATTTCAATCTTGGTTTCGCATCACTGGATAACACCAAGCTCATATCTTTATTACGAACGTTCTGAAGGGTAATTTCTTGTTTTGTGTGAGAAGATTGAAGCATAAGAAATGGTCTTTACTCACTTTGAGTTTTTTTTTTTTTTTGCTCAAATATGTGGCAGATATTATTCTCTTTATAACTGTGGAGTTGTTGGGTAGGTGTATCCTGCGTTCTCACTCCATATCAGGAAACATAAGTGGGGTTATGTTGGGGGAATATATGCCATGAGCTGTTGCTCCTTTCCTTTCTACCATTTCACGTTTCCTTTATTCAAATTTCCAATTTTCTTTTCTTATTCTTTTCTTTTTTCTTTGACTTGAAGGGATGGAGAGAATCTTTCATGCAGCAAAAAATTGAGTCTGAAAAGAAGAGAGTGAAGAAAAGTCTATGGTTTGTTTTCTATAACCCCCCATCTCCTCTCTCTACATATGCATGCACAGAGATACAAGTATCGTAATACACCACACACAGTTGAATTACATCATACTTACATGCATTATTAACTGCTCGGATTGAAGAGCGGGTACTAATATTGCAGATTCGTATATTTCAGTTAAAAAACCTGAAGTAACAAAGACTTCGGTAAAAATAGCACTTGGGCCGATTATTATGCTTAATTTTTTTTTTTTTTAATTTTTTGAAATACGGACCTATATGAATAAGGGAGAAATTCCTGTCCCCACCATTTTGAATAATGGCTGCGAACTTTTTCTAAAACTCTAGAGAAGCTTTCATGGAAAATTTTAATGATGACAATGCTTTATGCTTTAATGGATATTTCTTTTCATGTGATTGAAAGGGATACACATAATTAGTATCTCTCTCTTCCTTTATTTGTGAGGTGTGGATGGGAGGTAAATTTCGTTTTATTTTATTTTGATGAATGAATCAAGAAATTATTGATAGGGTATAAAATTATGGGATTAACTGAATTGGAATATGAATTTGTAAATAATTTCAGTTAAGTTAATCATAATTCATTAGCTTTAAAAAGTAGTGCAAATTGATGATTTATGGTCATATCCTATTTTTGTTCATTATTCAGTATCAATATCAGATTTTGGTTTGTCAATTTGAAGTGACTAGATTGAAATTAATATTCCGTTTGGTCCCCATTAAATTAAATTTCATTTTTCTCTTTTTTATTCTCAGTTACACAATCTTTTATAAAATAATATTACACGTAAATTGAAAATTTTTCCTTCTTTTTCAATCATTCATTCTTCCAAAAAAAAAAAAAAAAAATTATTCCACTCATTTTAATTTGAAAAAATGGTGGCCAAATAGGGGCTAAATTTCATATGAAATGATCAAATTATAATAGTCTAAAGTTTAGGTTCATTATTGCTACACCAATATAAGTAACTCGATTGAACAAATTGAAATTATTTGTTTAACATTAAATTAAATGAGAAAATGAATTTTGGAATACTGAATTTTTGAAAAATATACGGTTAAAAAGTGAAAAAAGAAAGTTTTGGATTTACTATAAAATATTTCACTGTGAGTGTGTGTGCTTGAAAATTAATTTTTTAAAAAAAGAGTTTTGAAATAATGGTATACAAATAGGAACTGAAAAAGTGGAATTTATGTGCACGATTCATTCAATTATTTTAAAACTTTCCTTGTTTCGTGTAACAAGGGTTCAATCCATTGACTAGGTCCAGGCTTAAAATATGAAAATTATTCCTTTTCCATTGAATCATATTGACTACAAACAAGATTTCACATTAGATTTCTTGACAAGATAAACAATAGAAAATAATTTTTATTATTTGGAGTAGAATCTCTCTTTTTCCTTTTTACAAACCCGACATAGATGTAATGACAAAAAGGTTCACACTAATTCATTTCCTTTTCTTTTTCCATGCCAAAGTGAAGCCAACTAGCAAGCAATTAAAAAGAGCTAAAGAAAATTGACAACTACATAGATATCTTTTATAGAATATTTTACTTTCCTAATCATTTACGAAAATTTAATTTTTCAACTTCAAAATGAATATAATGTGCACATTAAATATTTCAATCATACTATATGAGTAACATCTAGTTTTAGTACTTTTAAACAAACACATATCATATTTCATTATGTGCTAAGTCGACTATGATGGAAACCTTTCATTACCATTACAAAATAAATTTATTAAAATATAAATGTTTTAAATTAGTTACGTGATGTCCTTCACAGACACTACATTTAAAAATTTTAGGTACTAACTCGGGAAATAAAAATTAGATTAACAAAATTCAGCATACAAAGGTGATACGACATTTAGCCCTTGTTTGAGTTTCAGGCGATACGACATTTAGCCCTTGTTTGAGTCTGATTCTTGTCAAAAAATGCATATTTGAATAGTGTGTTGACGGAAAATATGTGGTTATAAATTAAAGAAAAGTTTGAATTTACGTGTAATATTTTTTTAATGAAAAATGTATGGTTGAAATGAGATCAACTTACTGTTGAAAAATGTATTTTGATGAAAATAATGGGGCTCGGCTTAATGAGATGTAGAAGAATTTTTACAAATTACAGCTACAAAACAACTCGCTACTCAAAACAACATGCGAGGAATTATTGATGCATTTTTTTCCCTTTTTATAACCAAAATGGAAAGCATAAAATAAAAGGAGATCGAGAGTGGCAAACAACAAATCTTCAAAAGCCATTTAAGATCACATCAATCAACTCTCGAATTTTTTGGGTTTCGAGCAACGAATTTCGATTAATGGAATAAACATACAATCATTGATCTTCAAAGCATTTTCCATCTCAATTCCATAGATTCACTCGGTCTCCTTATTGACAAAGAATTTCTCAGGTTTTCATCACGTTTAGATATACATATAATTATAAATAGGTTAATATATATATATATATATATATATATATATATATATATATTAACGACAAAAAATGCAACTGTATTCATTCAAGATAATCACTAGAATGATTGACGAGAGAAAAGAGGTATACGATCAAGAGTCTTATCTACCTAGGTTAAACATATTTGTCGATATTTAATTCAAAATATATTCATTCTTGCTCATTAATGTCCTTAGTTTTCCCCCTTATTTATTTCTAAAATTAGTTATTTGACAGTAAAAGAATGATTATATATGAACACTAATTATTGCTTTGATCAACAATATAATTTAAATCTTCTTGCTAATTAATAAAAATATTATTGGAAGAATAAATATCAGAAGTTAGTAAATTTTTAAATATTCGTGATTTAATTTAATGTACAAAAATATATTTGCATTATTTGGAGGAAAATAAGTACGACATTTCATAAAATGTCATAATGGCATTTTAATTTATTTAACATTTTGACCTTGCTAATAACTATCTTCCCAAAGATAAAATTACTTATATAAGTATATATTTTCTAAATATAATTACTCAAAATGTCATGCTATTCATTTATTTTTAAGTTTACTAACTAATAAGTTTTTATTTTACAATTTAGTGCATATTTGGCCAAGTAACTAATAAATTTGCTTACTTACAATTATGCCATAGAATGAATATAATTTGTTTTTAAGTAGAAATTAAGTAATTATTTACTTTTAATGTAATTCGTAATAAATTTAACATATAAATAAAAATGACCATAACTTTATTTAAAAATAAATTCAACTGACTTTTAAAATTAACTGAGCATGTCCTTAGATTAACGAGTTCTCAATAACGAAAGACACAAATACAAGAGAAGAGGAAAATGCTAATAATTTAATGAGTAATACTATTGAACTCTATTGGAGTTGCAACCCTAGCTTAGGTGGTATTGATGTGGTGTTAAACGAGAACTGGAATTAAAAATTTCACATTTTATTTAATTTATCATCTAACGTCACTTAAACTGAAATTTCAATTTTAGTGCGGTTACATAACATTATTCTAATTTAATTAGCTTAATAGATCTCCCGGCATCATTGAGATCTTTTTGTATAGCATATACGAGATAACTGATGTAACATAGGATATGTACATAGGATATGTGTTACTTTATGCATGAGCACGTAAATATTTTAGTGTTAAGTTTGTACACCAATATTCTTTGTCCCCCACCATCCATCATATTAAAGTCATATGATGGCTCCTCGGGGCACAGCTCAACCGGTGGATCAATCAACATTGTTTTGCTTTCAACGGCAGGGTGGAGGTTCGAATCCTGGTGGGAACTTGCGGCCAGATTTATTTGGTATGAAGCAATCACTTTGAAGGAAGATTTCTTGTGGAAGTAGGCGGTGGGGGAACCTGTGATCCAGTTGAGACATAATTCGCGATTTACCCCCTCCAAAGTTCTAGGGACAAGGGTCTTGGGGGTCTAGGATTTAGTCTAGTATAAACTGGGATACTTAGATATAAAAAAAAAAAAAAAAAAAGAAGTTATATGATGTCCTTAATTACGACAAAAAACATTAAATGAGTTCATACGTGTTTTTACTGTATAGTGGCAGT